TACCAGTATTTATACTCCACTGAATGTGTTACAGTTTAAATTTCAAGTGAAAAGTCTGTTATTTATTAAATTTTTTAGATGTTACCACAGTATATATCATGCAGTACAGTCAGAGGGACTGTAGGCCTATAAGAGACACCTCGTTCTAAATAAAATAAACATGTTTTTAAAGCCATTGTGGAATGTTTAAGTCTTAACTCAGTCAGTACTCTGTATTGGTAATTGGTACCAGTGAGTACCCAAACAGAAGTACTCGTACTTGGTTGGAGAAAAATGGGTACTTGGATACTCCTACTTATAATCACCTTCTGCCTAAAGATAAAAAGCAGGCAAAAATGTTATCGACATCTACAGTTGATTCATTTTTCAAGTCAACCTGATTCAATATGGTTAAATTATTAAAAGATCATGCATAATCTTTTATTTTACGATTTGACAAAAGTGGCTCCAAATTCATCGTTTATTATATATTTTTTAATGTAAACCTCTAGAATGAAGGGTAGCAGGTGATAGCCTATGCATTTATTCAAGGTCTACTTGGCTTAAGATTAAATATACGCGCTTGACGAGATGAATTTGATCAAAGCCAGAAAAACACCTGTATACTGATATTAAACAACAGAGGGTAAATAACAATAATTATTTAGCTTAAATTCCTGAACATGATTGGATTTTTTTGACTGTGCTGAATTTTTTCTATTTTACAGCAGCCAAAAACATGACATAGCGCRACACTCTAAAAATGAAATGTTGGATTTACTTAACCATGTTATGTGACCTGGTTCCACTTAACTGAGTTGAGTAAATTCAAAGCAACATATTCATGTTCTTTGGTTAAAAAACTGGTATATTGCTTTGAATTTACTCAACTCATTTAAGTGGAACCAGGCCACATAACATGGTTAAGTAAATCCAACATTTCATTTTTTACAGTGTATATGATGCTCAAGCTTTGATCAAGCTTTGATCTTATGAGATACTTCCCAGAATGGGTTCAGGAAGCAGACAACCTTTTTTTTAACTTTATGACAAATCTATAAACCTTATTTTATAAAAACTGAGTTTGGGCCGAATTGTTTGAATCTGAATAACGTTGTCTGCAGCTACAAGCTTTCGCTTACAAATCACCTCTCCTCACACTTTTTTCTTTTTTCTCATACATCGTAGTTCCTGTACTTATTTTTTTTCTTCGCAGCCACCTGTTTGGGACAGATGGCCACTCGTCCTGAGCCTGATTTTGCTCCAGGTCTCTTTCTGTATCAGTGGGCGCCTGCTGCTGATGCATGAAAAATACAGTGTAATCTGCTGGTGTCCTCATGTAGACAACTTCTATAATCACTATTGTACTAAATCTGACTGTTCTTGGGTGTTATTAATTATTATTAGTTTGCATAAGAAATTTAAGTTGGACCTGTTAATATTTGCTACATATGACTCTGAAATCACTTTGTTTATGACTTGTATAAATTTGCACATTTTAATAAATTATTGTAATTGTTGGTTCAAAACAAATTATAACATTTATTATCACCTTGATATGTTTCTTTTCAGTAGAAGCAGAGATCTATACAAATGTGTTACACATATACAGTAAACTGTGAATTGTTTGAAATGATTTTCTTTGCATGTTTGCTCATATGTTAAAAATGTTAAATAATTGAATGTGTTAATACAGTCAACTGCATGTAATGACTCAGGACATCCCCGGTACATCTGGTGTGATCTATTTGCAGACAGAGTCACTACAGCATCACAGAGGCACTCTGAAATGAAAGGTAAGGCTCAGCACTCCTGAGATGCTCCATCAGCGAAGCAGCTGGGGGRTGGGGGTGGGGGYACATTACAAGATAAACTCATATTGACACATCTGGCAGAATTCATCATTTCTGACCAGAAGCATTTTTCTGTGTTTGCACATGGACCTTTGTGGYAAGCAGCACATTCAGACAGGTCATTTACAACGGTTAACAAAGGCGTTCAATTCCTCTGCTGGCTGTGAAGTCAGGAGCAGGAGATTCTTTAACACATTGAGCTGCGTCAGTTGTTGATTCAGTGATACATCCACTTCAGTCATTTTTTTATTGATTGATTATGAAGCTTAAAACTGGGCACGTTTCAGATAGTGTCTTTAGACGTGTCCATCYTTCACTTCATGATGCTCAAAGTCTCAGTTTTATCTACAAACCATCAAAAGTGAAGTAGTGATTATGTTTTGCCCATGTTTGTGTGTCTGTAGTGYTAGCAAAATATCTCATTAATGACAAACAGATTATATTAAAACTTTCAGACAGTGATCATAAGGTTTATACTGTATCTTTGACTCATCAACTTTGGAGTGAATCCAATGCAAGATGGCCATTGCAGCAAAGCAACCTTAGCAAACATAGTTTTGCAGATTTGAAGCTAAAATTTGCTGTGGCTGTCATGAGTGAGTGTACAAGATTTGTATTTATAACTTTGCTGATAAYTATTAGAATCACCTCTGCTTGCTTGTAAGCAAAATACCTGATCCACTGCACACATTTAAATGAAACTTTCAGAAAGCAATCATAGGTTGAMACTACAGCTGACTAATCTTTGCACTTAGCCTAAATAAAGATGGCTGCCACTGCCAACAGTCATTAGAATACATGGATATGACTTTAACTTAACAGGCATTGAGCTAACGTTTGGTGATGATAGTAGCCAGTCATCATCCCCCACACACACTGACAGTAGTTAAATATGGGCRTCCACCCCATCAGTCTATTAGCAAAATATTTCAYGATTTCAACAAAACTCTTGAAAAGAAGCCACATCTACAACTGAACAACTAGTGGAGTCACCTCTTTTTCATAATGGCCACTGCAGCTAATTGACATTACCATCAATTTTCCAGCTACTGAGCTAGTTTTGGTTTTGTAGTAGCTGAGAGTTATCTTCAACACAGTATCTGAGCATTAGCTTCACTTTAGTTTTCACATATCGCATGAGATCCTGCATAACATTTACAAGGTTAGACCAAAATAACTATAGGTCTATTCCATTTAAAATATTCTTAGTTTAAAACTCCGGCATGAAAGGCAGAGCATGATARGCAGTCCTCCAAGGAATGGTAGGCCTTTATTTAATCATTTTTGTCCTTGTGCTTCTGCAGATTTGCGAGTTCCAGTCTTATCGGGTATGTCACACCTGAACCAACAGAAATTTGGTTTATTTCCCATTTTTTCCTTTATTCTGTTCTTTTTTCTTAAAAAAAGCTATTCCATGACATAATCCACTCCTGCTCCCAAACTGCTTACAAACGTGACTCGTTCTCTCCATCCTTCATGTCTTTTATTACCCTCAACAAGCCAGCACCCCCACCCCACACAAACCTCTCAGACTGGATCCTGCCTTTCATCAGCTTCCTGCAGTCAGACGATACTGGGCAGTCTCTGTTATTGTGAGCTGCTCAAGCTAATTGTTAAACATGTTCATGTCAATCAAACCCTTCCTCAAACGACACCAGCTCGACTCGGTGCGACGAGCACACCGGTGCAGCCATGGCAGAGTAATTGTGGCCGCCGCACCAGAAGCCCAACTCCATTCCATTAGCGGCTGTAGATTATAAATAAGTGAAGCCGGTGGTTGACTGTAAGACCTATTCAAGCTTGAACATGTGCTGAATGGCTCCTTTTCTCTTTTGGCATGTGTTTCATTTCCGCTCAGACAAGCAACCGACCAGAAGGAGGTAATTGCATTCGCAGCAGCATTGTGTTAACAGAAAGCGAGGGATATTTTTCATCACATCATGAATTAAAACTCTAAATATTCTTAGTTGAAAAAAAATCGAGAGCCTTGCATGTGTGACATCCAGAGCCGGTTTATGTTACACTGCATCACAGAGTTCAATAGAGTTAAGTTTATGTAACCACCATATCTGCATCGATCTCACCCCATAAACCTCGTCTGACACAGCTGCATGGTTTGTTAGGCACATATGAGCAGTGTCACTGAATGATAAAACACTGGGTAACCTTGGGGGAGGCTATTCAACAGAAACTGCTGAGTTATCGCTCTATAATGCCAACAAAACAACAATCAGTGAGAAACACGAGATGCCAAATGATTGGCTCTTTATTGTAGGAGGCAGAAAAATCCTGCTGCTTGTATAGAAGGAAAGCTACATGGTGCAGAATAATGGAAGGCTTTGAAATGGTCATCAACAACTATAAACGTCCCAGGCTTCAATTTGGCACTGTGGTCATTTGTAAACTATGATCCATCCTCCGGTTCCCCGTAACAGTGCTTTTTCAAACACATTCTGCACCTCAGAGGTGCCGTTAAAGCCATCTGGAGATTTCAGAACAGGATGTGTAGACGACGTTCAATGAAGAGTTCGAGCATTCTTCATTCCAATAATCCCACCGAGTTTGTCTTAGATTCGGAGCGGTTCCACTCGGCTGGGGAGAAACATTTTCGGAATTTAAAACCCTAACCGATTCTTCAGCAAGCCGCCCGCTCTCATGAAGCATAAAATGCAGCTCAAGACATTTACATTTTCTGTATGCAGGCTTTAGAGCCGTTGGGTTGGCTGAAGATGTGGGGGGATTTTCCCCTCTATTTCAATCTAAGTAACTGTTTAATCACAGTTTCTGTTGACGCCTCTGGGTTTTGTGTCTTGAGTTGGATCCTTCTGGCAGCAACAGCAGAACATATTATGAGCTCCTCAAAAGTCTGATTATAGATTTCACYAAATAGTTCAAACAGGATGGTTCATGTAAGGCATTACACCTCACTTCACCTTCAAAAATAGTGCATTTATAATTGTAGCTGTTTTSTCTGCAGGGATGTAAAATGCTGCATAAAATCCATCCAAGCTTTGAAAATAGATGATTTAAAAAAGTTTTCTTGCAGAAAATCTTCCAGACTTTTCCACTGTATTTCAGTGAGTTTTAACTATATATTTAAAAGTATTTAAGAAATCTGATTTTATTTGTTACAAGTCTCATTCTGAGGTCAGTGTATGTGGTTCTCACCCTCATTCCCAGCTCGATGTTTTCACCTCCGTAGACCTCCATGCCTGGATCCAGCAGGCCGATCTCACCAAAATACTCCCGATCAACCACAAAGGAGCAGCCAATCATAGCTGGAGTTCTGGATGAGCAAAGAGAAAATTATGTTAATGTTAAATTTTTAGTTTAAAAGCTTAAAAGATTAGTTTTCATATTTATTTTCACATTAAAAAATATATCTACCAGTAATATAAAATATCCTTCTAACATTTCTGTGAGAAAAAAACAAGTGATAAAAAACTGACTATGATGCAAAGGTTCATAAAATAATATCATGAGCTGCAAAGAAATGTTTGAAATGACAGCCATGCTCAAAGTGGGCTGATTCTCCCTGGTTTTCTGTACTGCTTCTGTTTACAGCTTCCCACCAATTCCTATAAACCTGCCAGAAAACTTGGTTTCATCAACTGTAAGCTCCAGTTGATTCTTAAACTTCATTACAAGACATCAGTTGAAAATGTCTTGACCTACATTTATAGATCAGGTGACCCATAAGAAACAACTGGTTAAAAGTTCAGCACAAGTAGCCAATCAGGATGCCAGGAGTCTGACCAGTTTTACTGAAGACCATAAGTATATGCACAGAAAGATTGATCATTGCTGTAATTAAACTGTGTTTGCTCCTAATTTAAGGTTTTGAACAAACAAAATGTGAACAYTCAATATGAGAGTAGCAGGGGAAAAAAATCCAGCGTTGTTTCCCCATCTGAGCACCTCTTAGATGGACTGACTGGTTTAAWCATCTTGTAGAAATATTGAAATTATTTCTTCAAACTGGGGTTGTACAAAAAGTGATTTAATATGGATGAACAAGGAAATCTATATTACATTTTAACACAACTGTACTGTACTGGATTTAAAACAAACACAATTTTAGATAAGCAAAAGACAAGAAGTAATTGTGAAAATGATTGATTATGAAGCTGAAATAACACAATATTATTATTTTGAGTGGTGAATGTTGACTTTGTTCAGGGTTTACTGTACAGTTCTGGTTCAAAGTCCTCAGATTTGTGCTGGAAGGTGTCCACAGCAAAAACACTTGCAAGTTTTTTTGCTTGAACTTGACAGATGAGGYAAGGACACCATTTCTCCTTGAACTGAAATTTGGGAAGTTTATCCATGATGTTTGTCGCTGTGAGCACTGAACAACAGCTGCCCTTTATCACACACACACACAGCACAAAGGTCAAGTCTCTGTCTGACAAATCCGCTGCCTGGAGTTTCCTCACAGCAGTCGGGATAAAAAAAAGGAAGTAGGGTCAAACAGGGTTCAATGGCATAAAATAAGAAAATGTGTTCAGATAAAAAACTCAACAAAGGAGCAAGCTACTGTTTAGATATTATTTGAAGATGTTATTTCTCTTGATATAAAGCGAGTTTTCAATTAACTTTTTTGAAAGCGAAAAATAGGTGTATTACCATTTCATGAACAAAATGATTTAAGATCTAATGGTGGATATGTTAATAGTAGTGCTACACCGATAATTCAAAAATAATCAATGACGTCAATTACATGATGAGACTCAACTGTCCATCAAGGACAAGGGACAAATGTTCATATTTTGGACAGAGAGGGTGGTGAAGGAAGCCATTTATCTCTGTAAGATATGTTATTAAGTCTTAAAAGAACTTCATATAAACACATTCTTGAGATGTTTGGAATATTTTTATAATCACTGTGCAATCATCATGTCTGTATTACTGTGATCTTTACTGAGCTTTTAGAAGAATTTTGGGGGCATGACTTGACTCTAATACAAAACTCTTTTGCTCAGGTCTTTGGAGCCAGAGAGATGCTCTGAGTGCACAGCCCATAGCGCTGTGAGGTTGGGGTAACTCTRAAATGAGTGAAAATAAATATTAAAGTCTAAACTTTAATGAGTTTTTAATTCATGCTTTCAAAATGAACACATTTCTTTCACATCAAATGAGAAATAACTTTAAATAAAGGATGAAGGCTCAGGTTTCAACCTTCAATAACTTACAATGCAGCATTAAGTCTGATTCCTACTCAGTTTCACCCCAATTTACACCTTCATATGTGATCAAGACATTTCTCCTGTGATTCAGGCAAACAAAGAGCCTAACAGGGCGAGTAGGTCCAGGTCTACATGTGAATCTAAACACTACAAGGCCTCTCAAGGTCAAAGCTTGGAACTCTACACAACTCCAGACATTTTGAGTTGAAAAGGCTTTGTGGATGGAAGTAAATAGTTTTCATCTTCAGAATAGAAGTCCAGTTGTATCTTTTTTTATTTATTTATTTATTTATTTTTTTAAACTTTCTTTGCCTTTTAGATTCCTTGAAGAAATCAGATCAGGCAAGAAATGTTGAGAACTGATGGAGTTGGAGCCATTTTTACCAAACTAAGAAAAATAAAATAAACATACATAATCCGATGTAATACATTCAAAAAACAGATGCAGTGATTTTATTTTTAATAGTATATATTTTTAAAATAAATCTACTACATATGTTTTTGAGTGTTTGTAAGATGGTGTGCTCACAGTGTGTTTTATGAATAACACTCAGCTACTTGAGTGTTTACCAGCTCAGTACTTTGAGCAACACGAGAAATTTATTTGGTTACACAAAAAGAAAAAGATTTAACTTCACAATTTTGTTTTTGCCTGCTGTAATGTTTTGAACAAAATTCTAACACACCAAAAAAACCTAAAATTAAACACAAATAAAAAAGGACTTTTAAGAGTTTTAGTTTTAGTCACTTTTGTGTTTTCCAATGTTGACAAGCTTTGGCACCAAAACAGAATTAGGTTGACTCTGGTTTATCAGTTGTTGAAGCACATCCACTGTTTGAGTGTTTTATTGTAATCTGTCCAGTGGTTCGCAAGACATTTTTCTGACWGATAATCAAAAAACCTTTTGACTTTTCAGGCGATAATAAATATTTTTAAATGTCAGAATCTGCAGTTTTTTTGGCCCAAGCTTCTACATCTTTAATATTTTAGCACACTTTTCCACACATTTATATAAAATTACAAAACACATTTTTGTGCAAGTGCACCTATCCAAAATGATGTTCTGCTTTGCAGAAATTAAAAAGAAATATTGCCATAAAAGTACTCCCCCCACCTTCCCCCAGTCCTCTCCTTACTTCTCAGCTCCATCATCTTGACAGCTCTTAAAAGCTCAGGTCGCAGCCTTCACATGCTGGCTGTATTATTATTGTGCAGAGATCAGTGATCAGCTCTATTCATCAGTCTGGTCTAACGCCTGGGGCAAGTCCAGCATACACACTGCAGCTCGCATGGACTGAAGGCAGGCGTGCGTCTGTAGCCTCAGTTTGGGAGACACGGCAGCGGTGCTTTAAAGTGCTTCTGGAGCTGCGCTGAGATTTATTGAGTCAGAGTGCTCAGGGCCGTACAGTATGTGAGCCAAAGAGAACAGAGCTTTTAAGTTGAGACCTAATATAAAACTCTGCGTGGGCCATCACTTTTGAGTGTTGTTCTGAACATCCGGGATCGGGGCATAAATAAACCTGACATTGGGTCTCAAACTCTCAGAGTTCTGTGAAAAGCCWTTCTTCAAATTCTGCTCTGTGAGTGGCTTTAAAGCTTCAGAAAAACGTGAAACGGTCTGTGTCAAAGTGACCTCATTTGCTCGCTGCACAACAGCTTTAAGAAACCAGAATTCAAAACTTCTGCATAACAAAAGCGGAGAGCTTTTGTCTCTTTTTTTCCAGTGGATCAAAGACATATTTAAACATGTTGGGTGCAATTTTCGTTGTGCATAACTTTATTATTCATGCCTCACACGGTGCAGTTGTGTTTCCTTAGTRCGCTTTTGTTGAAATCACAAGTGGGTGACAGGGAGGGCCGGAACTGTCTGTGTAGATGAAAACACACACACTCAGCATCTTCACCTCATCCTCTCTTTTCTTTTGAGAAGTGACCTACCTTGTCTCATATTTAGAGCACAACTCTTTGGAAAGAACTTCCGGGAAACATCAATACTGTTCCTTTGTATAAGCGCAGACTCAGCACTTAAAGTAGTGCAACACATTAAAAAATTTAAGGCCTAGTGTGTTGYCTAMMACCTTCATGCCAGTGATTYAGACTAAAATCATCTTATGTTAAAAAATGATGGAATCAAACTTTGAAAAAAAAWWGAGTATTCTCATGCAAAAGTATCTCACACAATTTGTTAGTACTACAMGTATTATGTATGACTGTAATTTTTACCACCATATTTTCACTTAAAATATCTGTCATAATCATTCAGGTAAAGTCCTTTTTTTGTGTAGGCTAAGGTTTATTAGCTGTGCTCCATTTTCAATGGGTGTGACACCAAATGGTAATGTATTTTTGATTTATGGTCAATTATTCATTTCTGAAAGCATCRTTTAAATCCATGCAAGGATTGATGAGTAATTTTCCTAAAAAGAACTGACAAACACACACACACAAACAGGTAAAAACATTTTAGGATTTCCTTTGGTGACTAATAATAAGACGAACCATGCCCAGGCTGCATATAAATTCTGCCCCGGATTCTCTTAAACTGCATTAAAAGGTTTTCACCATAACAATCAGCATTAAAGTTTCTTATATGTAAAGGCAATTTGAAGTTGTAAAAAAAAGAAGTAATTTCCATCAAAGTTTGGAGCTGCTCCTATTTGTCTGATGTGCAAAGTGATTAAATAGCAATATTAAAGTGAATCCCCCACCAGAACCAATTAACTGGAGCCAATTATGTGAGTAATTAGAGCCATCTGTTCCTCTTAAAATGCTGTAAAGAGAGGCTAAATACCATACATCTGATGTGTCTTTAAGAATCACCTCATCAATCCTTCATTTTCAACTGAGATGTTGCAGCAACATTCAGTCTTCCATAAACAACCTAGTAAATATGATAAAGAACAGTTCAGATTTCATACAACAATAAAAATGTTGTTAAATGTTATGTTTCTTGTAACTTAAATGTCAAATTCTAATTGTCTGCTGCTGAACACTTGGAGGAATGATCATTGTGTGTGTGTGTGTGTGTGTTTGCAAATATACATGTTTTCGTTAGACTGTCCTGTTATGTATATACATACATATTATACATTATACATA